CCTCACAGAGTAGAACTGCCTCCCCCTTCACAGAGTAGAACTGCCCCCATCACAGTGTAGAACTGCCCCTCCTCACAGAGTAGAACTGCCTCCCTCACAGAGTAGAACTGCCCCCCTCACAGTGTAGAACTGCCCCCCATCACAGAGTAGAACTGCCACCCCCTCACAGAGTAGAACTGCCCCCAATCACAGAGTAGAACTGCCTCCCTCATAGAGTAGAACTGGCCCCCACAGGGTTTCCAAGGAGCAGCTGATGGGTTCGAACTGCTGACCCTTCGGTTAGTAGCCAAGCTCTTAAGCATTGCCATTAGGGCTCCCCTATTAAGATTACCTTAGAAGACTCTGGGGCAGTTCGGCTCTGTCACATGGGGTCGCTATGAGTAGAAATTGACTGGACGGCACCTAACAATAACTGTATGAAAAAAAAAAAAGCAAAATAGCTCAAAAATTTTTATATTGATTACATGTTTAAATGATAATATTTTGGGATAATATAACGGAGCCCTAGTGGCGTAGTGGTTAAGATCTCGTCTGTTAACCGAAAGGCTGGCAGTTTGAATCTACCAGCCGCTCCTTGGAAACCCTAAGGGGCAGTTCTGCTCTGTGCTACATAGGTCCCTATGAGTTGGAATCCACTCAACGGCAACGTTTTTTTTTTTAAATTGGATTAAATAAAATATTACTAAAATTACTTTTACCTATTTATTTTTAGTTTTTTAATTGGTTACTAGAAAATTTAAAATTACATACATAGCTCGCATTTCTGGCTTACATTATATTTCCGTTGGACAGCGCTGAGTTAAGACTGTTTAATGTGTTTACTTAAGCCTGTGATTTCATGAGGCTTTGAGCTGTCACCCAGATTCAAACCTAGCCGGCAGGGCCAAGGTCAAATACAGCAGAGTTCTCCGCAGGCAGTGCAGGGAGTTGAGTCCTGGAAGGAAGATGGTTACAGTGGGCCTTGGCTGGCTCTAAGTGTTCGGCCGCACAGGCAGAAAAGAGGTAGCGGAGATCATACAAATTCATTTGTAGAAACCAGATTTTTCTTCCTCAAGAGAGGCCCGAGGCTTCCTTCTGTAAAGATTACTGAGTGGTTATCATGGTTTGT